GTAAAGGCTTGTGTCGCTTAAGTTTCGTCGGTACGAAGTTACGGAAAATCAATTAAAAAACGGAGACGTAACAATATCCATCTGGAAAACTGACACAAGATGCTTCCACAATATATCCACTCAACCATTGCATAGCTCAAGCAGCTGAAGAATGAAACGGATATTCATGTTATTCGATATAAAGAGATATCGGTCAAGTTCCCTAAACAGCGCCTACGGATTTCTCCAGATTCCTTATGCTGCGAATTGCAGATGGCCTTGCATACAACCCATAATGGATTATAAACCCCATTCTTACCGTATTACACTGTTCAAGATTACAAGATTTTGTTAAATTCAAAGCTGTACAATTAACCAGTACTGAAATACTGTAGGGATTGGAATTTTGTTGTAAGCACTTTAAAGATTACTTGTTTTCAAAGTAAATCTACACATTGTACTATTTGCGCTCTATCGACTATGAGGAATCGAACCTCGGATTTTATCGTCGTAAGGCCGCAGACATACCGCTGTGCCACTGAGGGCACCTTTAATCTTGAATGTTTATAATAAATAAAAGTTGTTTTAATGTTTTGTAGATAGTAAAGTAAATTTGAGTCATGTATAAAAGATATAGCGTAGATTTTATCTTTCTGGATTTGATTTTCTGATCATTATACGAGAAAATTTAAAAGCGAAAACAACGGTTACTAGGTTTTCGAAAAATGAACTGTAACAAGTAATGTGGAAATCGTAGTTGTATCTTTACTAACTACTGAAGGCTTAGTGGCCTATCAGTGTGACAAGTTTTCTGTTTTATAACTTGTTAACTAATTTTTGTTTTAGACTTGTTTTTAGTGTCTTGTACTTTGCGATTTATTGATAATGATGTTATTTGTCGGCTTGTTAAACTTCATGAAACACAACAAACGCTGAAACAGTAGGCCTAACATTTGTTTAGTGGAGCCAGGAAATAGTCCTAATGCAGGTAATGTTAATATTGTAATAAGGCCTTATATTATCACTACAGACTATTGTGCTATAAACTGAACAGATTCCTTATTTTTCTTTTCCTGTGTACTTTTGAGAATAATCCATTAGCAGTAAGATTATATACCTTGGTAGTTTTTTATTATAGGACTTCATACAAAAATAACTGAGTTGTTTTCAATTTCGAGCACAAAATAGATTGTCATTGACAATGTCAGTTTGCTCGTCTTAAGTTAAGACCAATTTTACCACCACTAGCCACAAGGTCTCTTTTGATGATGTAAACATTCAACTCTGAACGTGTTTTTTGGATTTTTTTAAACCCTGGCTTTGAAGAAATGTCTATAAATATAATCTAACACTTTTGCACAGACAAACATGTTTAAGAAATTAAATTTGTGCACCTAAGCTCTGGTGTGCATGTATATATAATAATTAATATATATATATATATATATATATATATTACATGACCAAAATCTAAAATGGTTATTACACCATGTAAATTTAAAAAATCACACCTGAAAACAGGTTTTTTTTTGCAGTATAATCATGCATGTAGACACTGAGCATGAGTGGTGAAGCACAAAACATATAAACAAGCTTTTTTTTTTTTATGAAAATAAGATATATCACTTCACTTTCTTTTGTAGACATTTTTATTTCAATAAGTTTCTGTGTATCAGTAACATATCACTTATTTTGAAATAAAAATTAAACATTCACTGGCTCAATCTGGCTCATTTCACCTTTTTTTTCGTAATTCATTTTGAATTTGAAAGATAACTTCAGTCTTGCTGTTGTAGTGGAAAGCTCTTAGCTGTCATTTAATGTAATCTTCTTTTGTAGCCTTTGTTGAATTTTCCCAGTTGGGCCATGTTGAATTATTTTTATTTTAAGCTCGGTATTAAAGCATTTTTATCTGGTCTGTGAGCACACCCATATCCAGTGTTGAAGTGTTTCCTATCTGTCTTGCAATTATTTCAAAGGAAGTAACTTCAAATCAAGTGTAAAATCTCAGTTTTATTAAAAAGAGGTGAAATAAAAGTGCTCTAAATTAAACTGTAACAAGTACTAAAATCTTTGTTATATGGAATACACTGACACCTTTAGAGATAAATTAATACATTTTGTTTTTGGCAGAGGTTAATCAAATTTTTGAACATTGAATTTCTGTTTTTTTTTTCAGATGATGCTAGTTATGTAGATTTTATAATTCAATTAAAAAATTCAAACTGAGCATGATTTTTAGCTATTCATATTTTTTTTTAATTCTTTTTTATAAGAATGTGTTTTTTGGTATCCTTATAATTAACATAGATAGCTTTGAAGAGCAAAAATATTTATAGTTCGAAGATCTTTTTCATATTTTGCAATATAAAGACTTGAAGACTGAGAATCATTAAATGTCCAAAAATTCTGAGATCAGGTGTCATAATACTGGATCTTTCATTGATATAGTTTTCCTTAAACAGCTTTAAAATTCTTATTTTTCATATTTAGTGTTATTAGTTTGTCTAAGATCTGTAACAAACTTAGCATAATTATATTGAGAGCTAGGTGATTTAATTGATTAATCAATATGATTAATTACCCATGAATAGCAATTAAGTGAAATTCCAATTATGTGTATTGATTGTTGCAAAAATAATCAAATTTAGATTCTCCAGTGATTACTATTTTAAGTTATTCCAGCTATCCAAGTAGACAAAATATTGCCTTCAAGCTAGCTCACCCTGTCTTTGTTATTTCAAAGCTGCTAATGTGTCACTAATTTTGAACTGCTGACTATAGGGAAAGTAACTGTGGTAGCACCCTTCACCAACCTTTGTAATTGCCTTTTCTTCTTACACACACAAGAGTACAAAAAAGTTACACTTATTTGGGTTGTATTCTACATTTAAAAATGAAGGGATTGACCAACTTTTACTTTGCTTCTCCTTCTTAAATTTAGAAATTTAGTGACAACTATGTGTAAGTAGTAGTTGTTAGCTGATATGGTGCTTTTTTCATATTTAAAAACCCAACTATTTTATACCTGAAGCTTGTGAATAAATTTGTAGAATTATATTAGTTGTCTGAATATTGTTTTCAGATGAACAATAAGTGTAAAATAACAAATTTGAAACATTTTTGTATGGAAGAGGCACAAAAAGGGACAGTGCAAAAGCAGCTATGATTATCTAGCAATGGTTACTAGCACAAGTGCAGTGTTGCATTACTATTATGTCGGGCTCACCTAGTGTTTCAAAGAATTTTACAACAAAAAATAATAAAACAGAAATAGTTTTTAGTATTCCTTAGTTTTCATAAAGTTTATTTTTTGTCAGTTAATTTAATATGCAGAGATGGCATATTAAAAGACACTCGTATAAACTCTGTTGTGAAATGCGTGATATTAACTGATATAATATGGCTTTATTACATTAAAGTAAAACTTTGTTGAAAGAGATATACATATAGTTTATATTTTTAGTGTGTGGAAGTAAAACTTGAACTTGGTCATCGAGCCACACAGAAGACTAAGCCTACACCCGAGGGTTTTACACATGATTGGTGTGTGTTTGTTCGTGGACCCGATAAACTTAGTATTCAGCATTTTGTGGAAAAAGTGGTTTTTCACCTTCATGAGAGCTTTCCCAAACCTAAACGAGGTTTGTATATGTCTAAATTGTAATTTTGTACTTAAAATTATTAATAAAGTTGATACATTTATATGACTTAGAGACCAACTTGGCTAATGAATTTCATAATTTATTTTTTCATTTTACTAAAAATACATTGATAATAAAAATTCCAGGTTCTGGTTGCAATGCACTGAGAGATTATTTAATAATGTGTATGAAAACGTTTGAATGAAATGCTTGAAGTTGTAAGAGCCATCTAGGTGACCTTTCAGTTACAAATTTAAGCTATTTATTACACAGGTTTTTTTTATGTTTTATCATTTTATTAATGGTTTTTATACAGTTTTTGCTTTGTAAGTGAGGCACTATGGTTGTTACTGTGTTTCCTGACCTAAATAGAATATATTTGATAAACAAAAGATTAATCTATATATTAGTTTTTTATAGAATTAATTACTGAATATAAAATTCTCTTGATGGTAGAAATTAAAAGAGCAATAGTAAATGAACAGTTTTGCATCTCATAGTGTGTGGTTAATCAGGAGTGTCGCTCAGAACCTTTTTTGTTTGTTATTCATCTCAACATTTTGGATAGCTTTATAAACAGTAATGTTTCTAAGTTTGGTGATTATATGAAGAAGACACTTTAAAGAATATCATGTCCATCATGAATATTTTCCTTCATTTGAAGGAATCATTGACTTTGTGACTTTGGTAGATAAGCTTTAGTTTTTGTAAAATTATAAACATAACATTTTGAAATTTGTAAAGGGTACATACTTTTTATATATTTCAGTACAGAAGGATTTGATAAAAGACTGAAATCTTCAGCTGAATATTTAACTGTTTATTTATTGGAGTTTACTGTAACTTAGTATCAAGCATTCATGAAACCTCATTTGGAGTAGTGTACAAGTACTGTCACTTCGCTGTTCTAAGGTTTTTGACACACTTGGAAAGGATGTAGATAGGCCACTGAAATAATACATACATACATATATAATTTATTGAAGAAATTTCATCACAAGTAAGGATTTAGGAAACTAATTATAACTGTAGTATGTTAATATAATGTTTCACTATTTTAGAAATTTTGTTGAAACATTTAAAGTTTTAGTGTTCTTTACAAGCACAAGTACTTATAAATGAAGTCAAACTATGAGATTAGTTTTTATTTTATTTTTTTCTCTCTCGTATGTTTTAAAGGCTTACATTAATATGACTGATATTGTTTAAACATATTAACTGTTTACTATCAATGGTCATAATGAACTAAATGGTTTATTTTTCTTTAGTTATCAAGGAACCACCTTACCAAGTGTCTGAATCTGGATATGCTGGTTTTATGTTTCCAATTGAAGTTTACTTCAGAAATAAAGAAGAACCAAAGAAAGTTGTATTTCAGTATGATCTTTACTTACGATTGGAAGGGCCTGTTTCCAATACTAGGGCAGAAAAACTGACTTTTCAGAACCCAACAGAGGAGTTTAGAAAAAAATTGCTAAAAGCAGGAGGGGTAACTGATATCTTTACATTTTGAATTATAAACAATGGATAATAGTTACTGTTTGAGTTCTATGGAATGTACAACTATTATTATTTTTTTACAGTGTTGTTACTTAAAAAAAAACTATGATATGCAAGTATAAAGTGATGTTAGAAAAACACGTAGGTTTAAGAAGTCTTGATAGAAATAAATAAAAACCGTATAACCCGAGAACTTTCGAAAGTGCTCGGGTTATAGGGTTTCTATTCATTTCTGTCAAGTATAAAGTGGATATTTATCAACTGTAGATACTTGGTTTATTTTAATTATTATGAAGATATTTTAATTTTTAAATTTTTTTTTTTCATTGAATTTCGGGTGCAATTGGCTCATATCAAAAATATGTAAATTGAAAATTCTTTTATGTCCTATTTGAAGAAATATTATGAAAAGTAAAACATTGTGCATATTTTAATTTACACTTTATCTGAATATATTTTTTACACATAGGATTGAGAGCAGTGTTTTTTGGTTGAACTTCAAGCACTGTTCAATTCTGGAAATATAATACATAGAGGAAGTTTGAGAAAACAAGAAAAAGAAAGTTATTTGCCTAGTGAGAAAGGCTCCTATAATTGAAAAATGATAAGGTTCTCTTTCTTGTTTACTGGGTGAGAAAAGCAGTTATAAATCAGTGAAAAAATGATAATATAAGGTTACTTTATATTGTTTATTGAGTGAAAAAGGCAGTTATGAATCGCTGAAGAATGATAGGGTTACCTTATCTTGTTTAGTGAGTGAGAAAGGCAGTTAAAATTCACAGAAGACTGTTGCAGCATAAAATATACTGAGAAAGGAAGACGTGTCACTGGGATTTAGTTACTAGTGATTATAAACTGAAACAAGATATTGTCATAATATAAAAGACTGTTTGGTTTAAATATTAGTGATTAATTTATATTTATGAGTGCATATTTTATTATTTTTAAGATTTGTTATAATAAGAGTTAAAAGCAGACAATTGTAGAAGGTTTTGTTAATAATTAATTGGTGTTGAGAATATAGAAAGTGGCCAGACGACTATGTAATAAAGATATAAATAGTGTGAGATGAGCGGAGGAACAATAGACAGATAATAGCAAAAGAGAATATAGCTGTGTGAATGACATAGGCCTAATGACTGACATAGGCCCAACATTTAATATGTTAGAGTGAAACTAACAGTATAAAAAAAGAT